TGCTTTCAGCCAGCAGTACCGCAACAGTGTTACAATTATAGAGCCCAAAGAAGCCCAGATCCCTGCTTTCAGCAGCCGAGGTCTCAGAGCTGCAGCCAGGCCTCAGAGCTAAATCCGGCTCTCAGCTTCAGTGACAGCCATATAAGGTAAATAAATCCCAGAATAAAAAAAGAAAAAGAAAAAAAGGAGAAGTTGGGAGCTTCAGTCGCCTGCCAGCCTGAAAACAGCCCTCAGCCCCTCACCCAGACTGGCCAGGCATCCCAGTGGGGACCTTCACCCTGAAGCAGTAAGATGGCGGCTAATTTGCATACTGAAGGCGGACATCAGTGGGCAAGACTGTCCGTGGTCTGGGACCTGGATCTGTGACCCTGCCGGGTGGGGGGCAGCACTTGAAGCTGTCCGCGGTCTGGGACCCGGACCAATGACCTAGCCAGCAGGGGGCAGCACTTGAGGCTGTCCACGGTCCCAGGACCCGAATCCATGACCTGGTGGACAGGGGGCAGCAATTGAGGCTGTCTGCGGTCTGGGACCCGGATCTGTGACCTGGCGGGTGGGGGGCAGCGCTTGAGGCTATCCACAGTCTGGAACCCGGATCCATGACCTGGTGAGTGGGGGGCAGCGCTTGAGGCTGTCCGTGGTCCCGGGACCCAGATCCATGACCCTTCCCGGCGGGGTGGTAGCTCACACAGGGGCGGGTTGGCTGGAGTTGGGCAGGGCAGGACACCTGGCTTCCACCCAGCCCCAGTCACTCTTGGCAGGTGAGCAGTGCAGAGAGCCTCTGGACAGGGGAGGCAGGCCGGTGAAGCGGGGCCTGTACTCCCCACATGACGGTGGTGACAGCAGTGAGTGCACCAAGCAGAGCCTGCAGGCTGAGCTGAAGTAGTGCCTGCAGGCCATCAGTGCCCAGGAGTGGCTGCACAAGATCTGCCTCCTGGCCCAGAAGTGCAGGATCGCAGGGACAGCCACCGTGGCAGGCCAGAGTGACGTCCTCCTGGCCACACCACAGGGATTTGCAGATCTGCAAAGCCAGAGGCCTCTGGTGTGCACATCCCCCGCTGGCATGCGAACATCCCCCAGCACACTGTCACCCTCCCTTGCCTGCAACAGTTGCAAACCAAGGCATGCGCAAGTTCCCCCCACCTCTCCACCACACTTCCATCAACCCAGCATGCCTAACACCCCCACAGGATGTGCACACATCCCCTCTGATGTGCTCACGTCCTTTGGAGAGTGTCTGGGTGTTCTGAGTGCTGAGGGTGGGCGCCTGTGAGATGACAGTGAGAGGGCGGAGTGGTGATGCCCTGTTCCCACGGAGGCCAGTGCAGCTACGAGATCACCTTTAGGGGGTTAATGCAGGTGCTGAGGTGGGAGTAGATGCAGACAGACACACCTGGTGGGTGCGGGCGGCCCTGGGTGAGGTGCCTTCGGTCAGCGTTCAAGATCAAGGACCCAGAGGCAGAGAGGAATTCCGTCCTCTCAGTGAAACAGTGGGATAGTCAGGGCAACTGTAGAGGAGGAATGTGCACTTTGGGTGCCAGCACCCATGAGCGAAGGCTGCCCTGACTGAGCCTCGCTTGCTTGGGGCCTAGCACACTCCTGCCAGTCAGCGGGTGACAGGACGTGCTTTTCAAAATTAATGAGAGAAAACATTGATTCTCCTGATGCCCACGAAGGTGGAAAGTGAAGTGGGGAGACATGTGGGGAGTGAGCGAGGTTCCCTGTCTAAGTGTTCCAAATCTGCTGTTGGTTTCTTTCACCACTGACTAGAGATATACAGGGTGTCCCCCCAAAATGTATACACACTTTGAATACCTACTAATTCCAATGGTTTTAAGCATAAGAAAAAAACAACAATGGAGCTGTTATCTGTTAAAAGTGTGGGCACAAACAGGTAGTTGGACATTCCCTGAGGGGTCTCAGATTGGAGAGGGTGAAGGCCAGACTGAGCGGCCCTTCCCTGTCCCCCACCCCAGTGCATGAATTTTGTGCACCGGGCTACTAGTAGGTATAATAACTCCTTTATATTTCTCTCCTCTAATAGTAACTAGAGTGATTATTAACATTAATTTATGCTTATAAACAAAATTCCTAAAATAGCATTAAGTTAAAATTCCTAAAGGACAATGAAACTATGCTTGAAATAAATTATTTAAAAATCGAATCTCTACCAGTTCACTCTGTCAAGACTCCTCTACTATAAATTTTAAACAGTTTTGTCTTTGCACAGATCTGATCCTATTCATACCTACATAGTCCTAATTCATACTATTTTTGGAATCCTTAGGTCTAAAATATCTTATAAACTGTCCTAAAATATTGATTCTCTGCTTACTCATAGTGTTCAGTTTTATTTATTTTTACTCTGTGTAAAATATGATTTTATTATTAATTTTAAAATCTTTATTGTTGAAAGAATATTATATATGCCCTCCTCCTTTTCCCTCCATTGCCCACCTCCAACTGGTTCTGCCCTGCCCCAAGGCTTCACCACTG